AGAACCAGGGACAAAGGCCTTGTCATGGACCAGAATTTCAGGATCCATTTTCTAACAACAGAGAGGATTTCTCTAGCACTACTCTTACTTAAAAAAAAAAAAAAACAAAAAAAAAAAAAGCAAAATTTCTTTCAATATTCAGGATGCAAAGAATTCAGGAATTTACTCCCTCATAACTTTGTCCAAAAATTCCCGCTTCTGAAAAAAGAATAGCAATACATAATGGAAATGATCCACAAGCACAATGGAAAAATCAACATTCCCCCAAGTTCATCTGAACCCAGCAGTAAAAGGAACAAATGAGATAATCTGAATAGAGTTTCTCTAAGACAGCACAAGAAGTTAAGATTTGACACCAGCAAAGCTCTTCCATGCTTCCCAAATTACTGCAATTTTAGTCTCATTCTGATTTCCAAGCAGGTTTCAGCCAGCCCAGAACCAAATTAGAGAGGAATAGTTTATATGAGAGATACACAGAGATTCTAAACAAACAAAGTCAGCTCAACCTAAACAGAAAAGAAACTCGTCAAGGTCATGTCTATATTTTTCATCCCCACTAGCAGAGAGCATGTAGAAACAAAACTAAGGGCCAGTCTACACTAAAACTGCTATAGTGATGCTGCTATACTGCTACAGTGCATCTAGTGAAGACAATTTATGCCCACATGTTTATAAGCCTCATGTGAGTGGCTTATTCACACCCCTGGGAAAAGCAAGTTATATCAAAGTAAGTGGTAGTGCAGACCTGACCTAAGATTTCTCATGGACTTAAGAGAATGGATCCACTGAGCTTGAATCAAAAGATTACTTAGAAAGATATCCAGTGACTTTATGAACCTTAACACAATGTGCCAGGAAATAAAGTGAAACAATAGAGGAAAAAACATGAGCATAGTGTAGTCGTCTTCCTAAAAGTGTTGTGTGCCTACTGTAAAGAACAAGGTACCCATTCATGGAAGTGGAAAAGGACCAACAAGCTAAAGAATAGAAAATGATAAATGAATCGAAAAATAGAACACCATGTCCAAGGCAAGCTACCTTTGAAACCTCAGGAGCCAAAATGCCTATGATTTAATGGGCATCACTGCAAAGTCACCAGAAAATTACCAGCCATTAGGGATTTAACTAGTTAACAGGTAAGCATTAACTGGTGGCTCATCCAGGCTGGAGCACCCTCCACCCACGGGATCCTGGTTAACTGATTAAACGGGATTATACATCCCTATCAGCTAGAGTATAGGGATGCAAATGGGTAACAGGTTAACCGGTAAGCAGTACTCTTAATGCACGATGTTTACCAAGTAATGGCTAACCAGTACCAGAGAGCAGCCTCCCACCTGCAGCTGGCTGCGGGTGGACGGCTAGTCCAGTCTTGCTCGATCCCTCCCCAGGCAGGAGGCACTCCCCCAGCTGCCTCTGCCTGTGGCAGGGGGGCCACTCCAGCCCGTTACCTCTGCCCCCTCCCTTAATCTGTTAACCAGTTAAACACTACTTTTAACTGATTAACCAATTAAATGGGTACAGAATCTGCCGGCTCTCTTGACACATTGCTAAAATGTATCTATCACTTGCCAGGAGAGAGGAAGCACTCATCACAGAGGCGCTAGGCAGGGAAAGGTGGCTTTGAGAAGTGGCAAAGCTCTCCTACAGAACAGAACACAGCACCAGCAGCTAGCATGAAGGAGTATGAAGCAGAAAGACTTACAGGAGCCCGGGGCAAAGCCAAAGCCCAACAAGAAGTGGCTGAAGCCGAAACCCAAAAGCTTCAGACCCGAGACCCTTGAGCAAGGGGTGTTAAATTGTGGCTATTCGAATAGTTGATGCATTTTGCACTGACTATTCGACTAGTCGATAGGAATAATCCTAGGGCTGTTGCAACACTTTAAAGGCGAAAGCGCCACAGTAGAGCCCAGGGTCAGCTGGGGACTCCCCACTGACTCGGGGCTCCATGTGGCACTGCCTCTCTGAAATGCCACGAGGAGCCTGACGCTTGGCTCCCGTGGCAGCATTTCAAAGTGGCAGTGCCACGTGGAGCCCAGGGTCTGGCCCCAGGCTCCACGCGGCGCTTCCGCTTTGAAGTACCCCCCCTTCGACCTCCCTTGCTGCCTCCTTCTGATAGAGACAGCGAAGGGGGGCGGGGGGGAAAGCGACTAGTTGATGAGCTTGTCAACTATCCGATAAGCATTTGCTTATCAGAGAGTCAACTAGTCCTTCACATCCCTACCTTGAGCTTTAGTTTTGGTTCCCATCACCCCACTCTTTTGGGTGATGAGACCTGGGATTTGTCTCCCTCCCCACCCACGCTGGCTGAGCTCAGACTTTGGTCTCCTCCTGGGATCACATAGTAATTTTTGTGAGCTGAAGTGGTGCAATGAAGTTTGAGAACCCTTGGTCCAGATAATACTTAGTCCTGCCATGAGACGAAGGCACTTGCCTAGATGACCTCTCAGAGTCGCTTCCAGCCTTACAATGCTATGACTCTAAGCTGAATCTACCCTGGGTTCTGCCCAGATCAGTCTACTCACTTGTCAGCAGTTCTTTGCCACTGCCTGAGTAGCGGACACTCAGGCACCCCTCCCCGTCTCGTTAGCACATTTAGGCTGTGTCTACACTGGCATGAATTTCCGGAAATGCTTAAAACGGAATACTATTCCGTTTTCAGTTTTTCCGGAAAAGGAGCGTCTACATTGGCAGGCTGCTTTTCCGGAAAAGCCCTTTTTCCGGAAAAGCGTCTGTGGCCAATGTAGACATGCTTTTCCAGAAAAGAGCCCCGAGCGCCATTTTCGTGATCGGGGCTTTTTTCCGGAAAAGACTACTGGGCTGTCTACACTGGTCCTTTTCCGGAACAGTGTTCCGGAATAAGGACTTATGCCTGAGCGGGAGCAGAATAGTTTTTCCGTTGCTTTTCCGGAAATTCAAGGACCAGTGTAGACAGCTCGCAGCTTATTCCGGAAAAGCGGCTGATTTTCCAGAATAAGTGGCCCAGTGTAGACACAGCCTTAGTGTCTCTGGAAAGACATTCATTGCTAGCTCTGTCTACTGGAGTAAAACCTAAGGGCAAACGAGTCTCAGACCAGATCTTCAGGCTCGCAGAGCCCGTGCTACAGAACTAAAAACAGCCCAAGGGTTTCGAAGTCCAAGCTTCAACACAAGCTGCAAACTGCAGAATGGGCTCCATAGACTCAGGCTTGGAGGGATTTTTCTGCAGTGTAGACGTACCCCTTCCAACCAAAGACTGGGTTACATTTAAACATTGGACCAACTTCACTTCATCTGTGTAAACTTTGCATGTTTAGTGCCATAGTTAGATTGACAAAAGGCAAGGTCAACATGGCATGGTCAACAGAATTCTTCCATCAATCTCAGAGATGGATTAATTACTTCGATAGAAAATCCTCTCTGTCAATTAGGGATGTCAATGGTTACCTGGCAAGCCTGATCCTTAATGGGTGAGGCTTACTGGTTCCTAACAACCAATAGGGGCTGGAGCACCTCCCCATCTGCTGCAGGCAGGGGCTGTTCCAGCAAGCTAGCCAGAGCTACTCCTGTCCATGGCAGCAGGGGTGATCCAGCCTGGACGTGGCGGGGGAAGGGAGGGCTCCCTGCATCCCCATGTAATCAATTAAAGGGGTAAACATAATGTTTAACCATTTAACCAATTAAACAGGATTTTACATCCCTATTGTCAACTTAGGAAGCATCTATGCCACAGTAATACAATGGCTCAGTACCTGCTGTAGTGTAGAGAGTAGCAAAGTAGATAGCAATACAAGCAGGCAAACCGAGACATACAATATTGATAGCAATCCAGAAGCTACCCAGACTTTCCACTGCTGCCAGAAGGATTTCAACAAGCGACTGATAAAATAACTAAAGGAGAGAAAACCCTTTGAATCCTGCCGCTGACACAATTACAGTCTTTAAGGTGCCACAGGGCTCTTTGTTGTTTTTACAGATACAGACTAACATGGCTACCTCTCTGCGACTTGGTGGGACAGTTAGTTTGGCAGGTTACTTCAAACAGAAACTGAAACTTGTAACTCTGGGAAATCTTTTTTTGCTAAACAAATATGTAATGTTCATTGTTAAACACAGAAGATGAATTCTTAGATTAATTTGTTTTGCTTTGTTTCTGTTTGAGGTAGCCAAGGCAATAGCATACAGATTTAGGTCAAGGCTCTTTTTAATTAAAGAAAACAAAAATTAAATAGATCACGTTACTTCAAAACTATGATCAAAATACTAAAATAAATGTTGTGATTCTCTAACAATAATTTCATTTTTCCCAGTTTCTCCACTGTCTAGTGGTCTACTTTCAGTGTCCTGTCCAAACTAGTTTTTTTGCAGGACATTGTCAGCCCTATCCAGTGGTCTTTTCTCTCTCCAGATCACACACCACGGAGTAGGGCTTTTCCTCTTTTATCTCATCCCTCCAGGCATGACACCTTGCACAGGCATAAATGGGTGAGGATGAAGAAGTGCACAGGCTCTCATTAATGCTCTGGAGTCACACATGGTTTAATTTTGTCATCTCCTAGGTCAGTCCTTTACAATAATAAGCTGATACAGTTCCCAAAGAGAACACCACAAACAGAAGGCACGCAGCTAGCACTAGTCATGCCTAGAGTACAAACGAAAGTTCCCTCAGGGCACTGGACTACAGTTCCCAGCCAGCTTGGTTTCACACATGCTTCTCATGGACATTGTTCTGTCATGAGCATTGCCCTTCAAGCAACATGACACAAGTGTCTGTTTCCAAAAGGCTCACCCCAATCTCCCTGCTGTTTAGTTTAGTAGGGCTGTTGCTTTGTGTTTTCCATCTGAAAAACAGGCATACTTAGAGACAATCATGAAATTAAAGGCTTATGGCTGATGCCTACCAGTGGTCAAAAATGTTCAGTAACACAGACACACAGACCTGACTTGCTAGAATTTCTGGCAAACTTCAGGAAAGGATTTCCTACACCGAGCCCATAAAAAGGTCTGTCGAATACACCTACCTCTCTCTGAGACCCTTCTATTCCCCTGCACTCATCCAGTCTCGTCAGCACAGTCTTGGCGTCAGAAAGGGCATCTGAGAAAACACTTTCATACTGAAGTAGGAAATCCAGTGTACAGGTTTTGCTCTCGGTTTCTGCATGTAAGACGTGAGATGAGTTACTCATTTATTGAAAACATGTATGGAAAGTACAAGATGATGGACAATCATCAGTTTATAACTAACACTTTACACCTGATTTTTATCACCTCTGATGTAATAGGGGAAAAACTGACCCACAGATTTCTTTTATGGATACCATCCAGACTGCAGAGGAAAAGGGGAGCATTCATTTAAAGCACAATGAAAACTTTATTCCCTCCCATGGCAGACAGAAGTTAAAAGGGTAAGGCACTGAAAGCAGATTTCTGTGGTTACCTATTGCTCTGCAGATTGCTTTACCCACCTCCCTTCCTCTGCATCAAAAACTGATTATACTATACGTCAGATGCAAAAGTCTATGTATAGGCAGAACAGGCTTTGCTCTCAGCAGCTCAGGTGAGACAATAATAATACATCAGGAAGCAGACTTGGAATGCCCAAGAAGGGGTCTGTTTGGGTTCATAGGTCAAAAGGGCATCCACTGAATTCTTAGAAGGGATCCTTGCTTCAGGGTTATGTATTAGTATGGCAACTCATGCCAAACTAACCCCTCACTCTCACCCACATCAGGAACCCATTAAAAAGCTCAGCTGCAAATTGCTGGCAGACAGAGCTGTGACTAGCATCTCAAGTGCTCACCTGGATCACCAATTTCTCCTTTCTTCTCCTCAGGCTCAGCAGTCTCCCCTTCCTCATAGCTGTCCTGTCTGCCAGGGGAATGGCGGCCAGTTTGAGCATTTGAATCCTCCTTGAGGGATTTAGAATCCATTTGAATTTCCTCCTCCAGAACCTCTTCATGGTCAAACGTGTGGGTCACAGTCATTTCTTGCACTGAGGTGGAGGAGGTGACTGTGCTCACTTTAGGTTCTTGAGGATCAACAGAAGCTGAAGCCTGTTCAGGAAGTTT